CTACAGAAACTGATCTAGGCTAGGCTAACGTACACAGCTACGCATCTCTCAGCCAGTAACTTACCTTCAATGTATTTCCTGCGGAGTTTTCGGTGCACGCTCTTCACCACCCCCGACAGCTTCTCCTGCTCCTGCTTCCTGGACTGCAGCTCCGGCAGGACAGAGCCGGCGTGGTATTCGGAGAGATCCGGGTCTGTCTCAGCACTGCTCCGCAGGTCCATAGTACAGCACTGAGGCTACCGGCGCACCGGCTCCGTCAGTCCGTCAGCACGCACGCACGCACGCACACGCCGCAACAACGCGCAGCCTGATTGCGCCTCTTCGGCGAACGTGCCGGAAGTGCACGTCCAATCCGTGAACGCTGAACAAGAAACGCCTCAAACTCAAATCAATTGATTTAAACTCTCTGAAGGGTTGATAATTACGTTTGTTTGATCATTAAGTTTTGATAAGGTGTTAGATATAATAATAATAATTATTATTATTATTATTATTATTATTATTATTGTTGTTGTTGTTGTTTGTAATATTAATTATTTTATATATATTATTTAATATAATAATTTAATGAGTTATATCGTTATTGTTACTGTTGTTAGTAAAATAATTCAAAATAAGAATACTTCAGATACTGGATTTGGCCCTTCATAAAAGACATAAAGGCCAAATTTAGACTAATAAAACTATTATTTAGTAGTAGTAATAATATATGCACATATAAACATTGTATAAACATACTAATATATATATATATATTACAAAATTTTAATTTAAAAGAATACTTCATGTTCAGAATGAGCCTAAATAAATTAAATTACAATATTAACATCAATACAATTATCTCATCAATAAAAATAGTAAATGCTTCAAAAATGTCCGCCTCTGATTGGCTGGGCCTGAGCTTAAACAACTTACCTGTAGTTTCGCGCCTAAATTAATGTGGCATGAGAAAGAAAGAAAAAAAGATGTTCATTCAAAGCGTTCCTTCGCATCATAGTAGACATTTACATTTACACTGGATTACTAATTTAGTCAAAGCCGCTAAAAAAACAATACACGAAAGGTAGGTCTTTCTAGCATTTGGTCGTTAGAATCACATCAGGAGGGTCACATTCCCGCGCGCTCTGACACGGAATTATGTGTGGCGTGGAGAGAACGTGAGTACTTTTGTCATGTTTCACACCACAGAGTTATGGCTTACTGTGAATATTATAAAACTCACTGAACACCAGAACTAGTCGGACCCAGTTAATTACTTTGCAGTATTTTTTCGAAATATGAAGAATCATGTCAAAACTAGGCAGTGGCGTGCACAGTCCTCCGGAGGTGCAGGGGAGGGTGGCATTATGAGAGCGATCCGGGGATTTCTTCTCGATTAATCGGACCGAAAGTGCACTTTAGCGTCGGCAATTAAAGGGGCAGGCTGCAGACCCCCCCAGCCCCCCACTTTTTGCCATTGAGATGACTGAGAAAATTAATTAACCGTATATGTAGGCCTATCCATATTATCCTTGTCAGTGTGTCAAACACAAGTTAGCAAAGCTGGAGCAACAGTGCTTTTGTGTGTCCCCTTGGGTTTGAAAATGTCATCATGTAGTTCAATCCCATTTAGAGGGAGTGATAATCCCATAATAGTCACCCTGCCCAACTGTACAAACAGCTCCCCCATGAACTTTAAACTAAAGGGACTAAAGTGTTTCTTATTCTGTTAAATGATTAAATTAAAATGATGCCATTTACTCACCCTCATGCATGCATTCTTTCTTCTGTGGAACACAAAAGACAATAAAAAATACAATTTGTCCATACAATTAAAGTCTTTTGGCTTTTGTTATGGACTCCATTGACTTTCACTGTGTGGCCAGAAGCAATTGAAACATTCTTAAATATATACAGCTAAAAAAGGAGTCTATTTGGGGACATATGTGGTCAGATTTATTTCTGTGAACTGCATAATCTAATAACCTGGATATGAGATCATAGTTCATCTGTTTGTTCATTGAAAGACAGTTCCGTGAATGTGTCTAACAATAAATGGAAAAGATAAAGACAACTAAGAAATAATAACAGCTGCACAATATTGAATTACAATAAAATACTCTGTTGATTGGACAAGCAAATTTACAGACACCACACAAAAAAATCCACAAATCGTATCTATTTTGAGAGTACAACGATGGAAGTTATGATTTATTTTACACGGCTTATACATTGTGTTTAGACTGTGTCATATGACACTTCTGACACATCTGTCCTTATTAACAAAAGCTGGTGAGTTTGGAGATGTTAAGACCATAATGTTTTGTATATTGACACAAAGGAGGATATTGATCCTTGATGTCTCAAACTGTTTTACTGTAAACAGACCAGATGATATGTAAAGAAAAAAAATGAACTCTAATAAACTTGAACGACCATGTATGGAAAAACGTTTGTTAAATAGTTGCAACAGAAAAATGCATTTCTTTTTTTGTTCATCACTTCAGATGTTACATGAACATTCATCTTATTGCCAAGATATATTAGACATAAAAATCAACATGATTATTAAAAAAAAAGAGGTTATAGTTATAGGTAACAGGTTATGTATTTTGTATATGCATTGTATATAAACCATAATCCAATCAGGTACTTAGCATGAAGTTAAAGCTATGCATAAAAGTATGTCAATTAAATCCTTTTTTAAAGACGTATCCTCTATAATCTGTCAAACTTTTTACTCACCCAGTGTATCATCACTGTACCAGGCACCATTAACACAGAACCCAAACATTTCTACATATATACTGTAGACCCCATATAATCTCTTGCTGTATGTTCAGCTCTTTGTAAAGAGCATTTTGATATTTTATGCAAACTTTGTTGTCTGTAGAGCAAGGCAATATACCTGTTGAATTATGTAATGGGAAATTAATGTAAAAGTCTTCTTATAAACATGTCTTTGCCTTTATG